TCAGAGGATTTTTTTGGCCAGAGACTAAAGACTACGGTCAGTATTAGGGTCTGTCCCGCATGTTCTCCACCCGCCCATAGAGGGTGGATCTCACACACAAAATGTACACATAGTGTAAGACATCTTTTTTTGGAAGCTAAGCTAACAAGCTAAGCTAGGCTCTTGTTCTGTGGAGAAAGCTGAGTTGTAGGGGTTACCATCCTCTTTTTCACGGACATGTCCGGCAGTCGATGTCCGGGATTCTGCAGTCGCCATTCATTGTTTACATGCACACCTTTTGTTTCAATCTATCTGAATTCATTCCGATTGGTGAATCTGAATGTAGTGTTTACATGAACGCTAAACAAGTGATCGGTTGATGTGCGTTTTAACATTGGTAAGAAAATTCCCGCCCCTGCGTGAGAGATACGAGACCGTTGCGTCTCACAGGTGTTGCTCATTGGTTATCACGCCACCGGCCTCACGCCATTCTCCCACGGCCCTAGCCTCGTCCTGCTTGCCAAAGTAAACGTAATGAATGGCGACTGTAGAACGCAAAAGCCGAATCCAGGACATTTTTGGCGATCTCAAAACACATTTCGGGCAGACTCATCATGGAGACATGGAGTAGCCTAGACTTAGCTAGTTGTTTAGCTCTCTGTTTCCGGTAGACGTGGCCTCCTAGGGCAGCGAAGCTAGTGTATTCTGGGAGTTGTTGTCTTTCATCCACATAAGCCAAAAATACATTTTCTGGCTTTTCTCAGTCTAGAAAGCTCCAAATTCAAAAATAATTTCACATTTCTTCAACATAACTTGGTAACACTTTACAACACGTGTGCACTAATATGCATTAACTCATGCTTAACTAATGCACAGATAATCATGAATTAATGTATAACTCATGAAGAACTAAACCATTAATTAATGATTACCGCATCAGCAACTAATAAACAGTCTATATGATTAATAGATTAAGTAATACATGAATTTCTATTAATTCAACGTGCCATTGTGTATTAAATCCTTAATAACATATTTTATTAACTAATAGTGTAAATTAATGTGTTAATTACCACAATTAGTCAAAGCTATGCACTTCAACTTCCTGTTAGCTAATGATTTGCAAAGGTATCATTATGTTATGACTTTACTTGTTGGGGCACATCAATATTAACTAGTAATTGTAGTAATTTGCACATGAATTTGCAATAACAATTAAGTAATTAATCATGTATTAAATGCATATTAGTGTACCTGTCATATTATCTGAGAGTTGAAATACAAGGCTTTGGCTCATTCTGGTAATTAACATATTGACACTATTAGTTTAAAAAATGAGTTATTATGGAATTAATCCACAATTACATATTTAATCAATAACAATTCATGTATGATCTACTACATTAACCTTACATACTCTTAATTAGTTCCTAATGTGGTAATCATTAATGAATAGCTTAAATAATCGTTATTTACATATTAATTCAGTATTATCTGTGCATTAGTTAAGCATGAATTAATGCTTATTAGTGCACCCGTATTGTAAAGTTTTACCCATTTTAAATACCCATTCTTTCCAGAGGTGAAGCATCCCTTTAAGATGCATTTTCAGTGATCCGATCACGAGTGGTTAGGGCGCATTACCCTTTTCACCTGGTCTTAACCTGCACATGGATTCTGTAAAGACCAGGGGAGTCCAAACATGCTCCTGGAGGGCCACTGCTACAGAGTTTAGGCTTAACCTGCCTCAACACAGCTGTCTGGAACGTTTGCCTAAACCTTGATTAGCCCTCCAGGACCACCCCTGGTATAGACCCTTCCCTTTTATGGCTGGTACACACTGTACGATATTGGGCTGTCCCAGACGAAAGATGACCAATCGCACAGGCAATTTCTGTGGCCGTAGCTCATAAACGGTGGTTCTATGTTGTACAGTTAGAGTGGTTCAAAGATGGCCATTGTCACGGCCTTGCAACCAAAGACAGTAGCCTGGGATCATTTTCTGACAGGGTGCATGATCATCTCACAGTATTTTTGCTGCTACGACCTACCGCTTCTGACTAGCCAATAAAAATGCAACATGAAATGGCATATTTGTCAACACGACATGGCGCTGAAACTACTTACCTCAAGGTCCATTTGCAAAATTGGCCTGCCAAGTTGGCCTCTTTTCCCTAGCCATGATGACCGTGCCCATCTTCTCTTCTTTCGTTTCCTCCTCTTTTTTCAGCGCACATAAAAAACACAGTTGCCAAAGTTTTTCACACAAACAGTTTTTTCAAAATTTATTGCAGAGATATCCTTTCCAGAAAGCATGTGCTTTACAGTTCCTGAAAGATTTGTGGTTACACTTTATTTCGATAGTCATTTTAGACATTCTACTAACTATAAGTAACTTTTCAACTACATGTCAACTAACTGTCATTAGAGTATTAGTAGACTGTAGTAGACTGTCAGGTTAGGGTTAGGTGTTAGGGTTCAGGTTAGGAGAACAAGTTGACTTGTAGTTGCTAAGTTACTTATAGTCAGTAGAATATCTGTTGGGGGACCAACAAAATAAAATGTTAGCAGATATTAAGCAGACAGTCTACTGATACTCTAATGACAGTTAGTTGACATGTAGCGGCAAAGTTACTTATAGTTAGTTGAATGTCTAAAGTGGACTATCAAAATAAAGTGTTACCAGATTTGTAACTCATACTCAGAAGACCATTCTAGATGACTCAAAAATACAGCACAAATATGTACGAAAAGAGGAACAAGGCCAGACAAAAAAAAAAAAAAAAAAAAAAAAAAAAAAAAAAATTCTGCAGCATGCTATCATGAGTGCTCTTAAAATGCACTTCAATGAGACATTTAAGTGTGTAATTCCTCGGAAATTAGTATACAGTACATGTGTTTCCTGTACCGCTTTTCATACCTGCTGAATCTACAAAGCCAGTAGTCTAAATGAATGTGAATTTTAAAAAGGCTAAATAATCGCAAGAAAACACATGATTCTATTGAGTTGTCCTCATAAATGTGCAGTAGTCTAGTGTAGTCTGATCCACCAACAAAAAAATATCATGAGCTGGTTCTTTCAATTGTTCAAAAAGACTCACAAACTCAAGAATTTGTGGTTTGAATCAGTCAGTTGAAATGTAGCAGAGGTGTAGGCAAACCTTGGGACATCTAAAATTATGATGTTGCATGGTTATATGGATCATATCACTGTAATCATTCTGTCACAACTAACATTCATATACACATTCCACATTTACATTTATTTTATTCTTCCTACCTTACTGGAGAGAAAACAAGTAGCAATATTAGGCAATAAAGTGTGCACAGATCCACACTTCAAAAATCTATACATACTAGTTACACTTTTCAACACACGACGCTTTGGAACTCTTATCGCACTTATTCTACACTCACATTTAATTTTGAGAATGGGCTGGTATGAAACACTGACTTGTGATCATATCATTTGTTTAGCGTTTCAGTCAGTGCTGTGACATACAAAGTTTGGTTATGAAATTCTAGATTGCGCAGGCTAATAGGTCCTTAACTCAAACTGCTTGCAATCATATCGTTCACCATAGGGCACAGCTGATTGGTTCCTTCTGTATCAGTAGCCAATGAGCTTGCATGCTCAGCCTTCAAATACTTACTAGCTAGCATTTGCCTTTGAAGTGCAGCTCATTTTCAGAAACCCTCCACCTTCCCCCGTTCCACCTGTATAGATCTGCTCTGGGTAATTCATGTATTGTTAGCGGGATGCCTTAATTGCACACAGCAGCATGTCTGATCACAGAATCCCACATGCGATTCATTGCCAGAACCATTAACCCCAGCCCTCCTTAAATGCACTTCTTCTTCTATTTTTGCCTTAAATCTTATTATTGAGTTATTGAACGTACAGTTTCCACCTCCACAACAGCAGATCAGACAGGCAGCAAACCTCAGCAGAATGAACATGCTGAGAGCTCTCACACACCCAGAGGAACAACGCAGTCTGACCAGGAAGCTTGGTCTAATAGTATCATAGTACATTACACACTGTATAAATCATTAGTAAATCAACAACATTGCTGCCATGCATTTGCAAACAATCTGGTTTGGTGACGCACAGTGGCTCAATAAAGTCCCTCTTAAATATTGTACTAATGTCATCATGTTACATAAAATCACAGGCATCAGCCAATGATGCTATGCCTCAACTAATTAGCTTTCATAAAAGCACAAACAAATAAAATGTTTGTCTGTTATATTTCATCAACTTAAAAAAAATGGTTTCCCTTTTTGTTCTCACTTAACAAGCACTCTTATGTTTTTACCTCTTCATCCTTCCCACTTTTCACAGTCCAATCAGTTCTTTATAGATATTTTTTTTTCTTGTTGAACAACTTGTCTGTCTTAGAAATATATCACATTTCTGGAGTAGAATGGGTTGTGAATACGGGCATGGCTTTTCCCGTTGACTTTAAGTGTGGAGTATCCAAATATTAAACAATGAAAAAGATTTATAAGTAACCCATGGATCCTAATACCATCCTTTGCTGCACTAAATCACCACAAATAAATATAAGATATCAATGTGTTAAAAAATGATTTTTTTTTTCTTTCATCATTTCATTCAAATTTGAAAAGTTTGAAGATGGAATGAGATATAGAATTGGGAAGTAGTCTTTTAAAAAAATGCTAGAACATTTCATTTGACATCAACTGAATGGAGGGTTACATAAGTAATCAGGGTTCAGAAAAACCTTCACTCTTCTTTTAGAGCAAAATATGTTGAAAGATCGATGAATGTTTTACGCTTTATGCCTCTCAGCACAGTATTATTTTTGATAAAGACGTCTGTTTGGCCGTCCTTGACCTGGGTGCTCAAAACACTGCAGCAATTTCCAGGAAAAGTCTTCTCTAGAACATTGTTGACATTCAAAATGATTTACATGGGAAAGAGAAAAAAATCTTTGAGTGGCTAACTTTGCTTTTTTTCTCTCTCTCTCTCTCTCTGTCTGTTTTTCTTTTTATAGGGCAAGAGAGCTTCAACTCCAAGAGTTTGGCCCTTCAGGCCCAAAAGAAGATCTTGAGTAAAATGGCCACCATGGCCGTGGCAAACCTCCTCACGGACGACACCAGCAGCGAGATTCTTGACGAACTCTACAAGGCCAGTCGTGAATACACCAAGAGCAAAAAGGAAGCCCACAAGATCATCAAAGATGTCATCAAGATCGCACTGAAAATTGGCATTCTCTACCGGAACCACCAGTTCAGTCATGATGAGATGGAGACCGTTGAGCGCTTCAAAAAGAAGATGAACCAGGCAGCCATGACGGTGGTGAGCTTTTACGAGGTGGAGTACACGTTCGATCGCGGCATTCTTTCCGAGCTGCTGATGGAATGTAGGGACCTTCTTCACGAGCTGGTGGAGCACCACTTGACCATGCGCTCCCACGGGCGAATCGACCACGTTTTCAACCATTTCGCAGACGTGGATTTCCTGACCGAGCTGTACGGCCCATCTGAAGAATACAGATTTAACCTGAGGAAGATCTGCGACGGGATAAACAAACTCCTAGATGAAGGCACACTTTAACCTCCAGTTCACATGACACTCCATCAGGCCGCTGGGATTCGAACTGAGTGATTTTACACAACTTGTTTGTTTTTTGCTTGAAAGATAGGCTGTCATGATAACTTGATGATGGGATTGTAACCCAACCTGTAGGGATGGTCACCCAGATGCAGATTAAAGTCAAATCCTGGTCTGTTTTGTCAACATTCCGAATGATTGTTTGGGGAAAATCTGTTTAAGTGGAAAATCTGAATGAATCGGTGTCCCTAAAACCTGCCCTTTGTGTGAAATTGCAGGACCGTTTTAAGCAACTTATTCTCATCCAAGGGCGTCATTTAAGTGACGCTTTTGAAATTGCGTCTAAATTCGACGCACACGTCAATATAACACGCTTCGTTATGGGTAGGTTTAGGTCTGGGGTAGTGTTCGGGTTAGACCACAAGGAGGCGCCTTCTGGCCCATATATATCTGCGTTTCATATTGACGCTGAAGGGTGCCATGTGGGTAGGATGTAGACGCAATTTCAAAAGCGTCACCTATACGACGCCTTAGGATGAGAACGGGCTGTTTTAAATTACGAGCTCCTTAATATGCACTGTATGAAATTTGACCTACCTATCCTTTATGAATGGCCTATCAATGCAACCCTAGCTCTCTTCAGTATGTCAAGAACCAGTTAAGATGTCCAGTTAATCTACTCGAAAGTTAAAGGGATATAGTTCACCCCAAAATGAACAGTCTGTCGTCATTTACTCATCCTCATGATGTTCCAAACCGTTATGGCTTTATTTTTACTGCGGAACACAAAGGAGATGTTTAGCCTAATCTTTCAAGGTCTCCTTTTCCGTAAAATGAAATCAAAGGGGAACAAAAAGTAACAATAAATGTACAAAAAATTTGTCAATTTTCACTGATGACTTTTTTCATTATACCAAAATTAGATCAAGCAATTAGTTATGAAAGTTACACAAAACAATGTCATTTGGTATTATTGATGGCAAACCTGACCCAATTTGTTCTCACAGCATATTTGAATGTGGATATGAACTTAAATACATCATTACTTCATTTTGAAGTCCAATGCGACTCACTTTCTTGTAGGAGAAGTATGGATCGCCTCTAAATAACACAGGCTTGAAACAAGATAGGGCAAGTAAATGATAATGGAATTTACATATTGTTTGGATGTGCTATCCCTTTAAGATTACAAAAGCATTGAGAGTTTAATAAAAAAAAAAAATGGCGCAGACCTTTGTTGAACAGAGTGTTTGCCAAAATAAATAATTGAAGTGCAGCAGAAAGATTGTAAATAAACTTTGGGGTTTTGATCTTTTCTCTTTTGCCTTTGTAATGACTCAGTGTCACAACAGCTCCTATGATCCTGCTTGGTTTTTCCAGATCTTGATGTTTCAGAGCATGTTAATGTGTGTATAATACATGCAGGAGAGAAATGTGACTGTTCCATAAGCCTGTTCAGTAACCCCAAAGTGTAGCACTATTAGCTGTCATTAAACGGTCCATATGAACTTCCTGTAGTGTCCTTTTGTCATTTCAACTACTGTGATTGCTCTGAGTTTGATTAGCCCAAACTATTTAGTCAGATAGAATGTCTATGCTTATGGGATATTTCTACTTCAATATCTTTCCCCTAACCGTAAAGCATTCTGTTGCCATTTATAAACTGGTTTATTGTAATTCTCCAAGTCAGAATTTGGATGGATGAGTTGAATGGAGCTCATTACTATATTATACAGTTATTGAATGCACACGATTTATAATAGTATTTTACGACTGTTGCTTGTCAGACTGAACAAACATGATCTCTGCTGTAAGTCATTTCTGTAAGGGATTGCAGTTGTCTTTAAAGGTAATAGCTTTGAAAGCATGGGATCTCACCCTCCCTTCAGAGCGTCTCCAAAGCCACACCTCCTTCAAAACACATGAACACACACATCAGAGTTTGCAAAACGTCACAAGATGAGAGGTGGCATTAAACTACCTCATGTCTCAAAGCACAAAACATTAAAATAATAATGAACAACTTAAAGAGTTCTTACCACCAGACTGGTGCAGATTCATTTCGGTGTTGATAGTGTTGCCATAAAACCAATAAAATTCGAGTCACGAACCGTTCTGAGTATAACAAAACAAATGCAATAATTGAACATACATGTTATGGTCCTATGCTGTCCACAGATGATATATATATATATTTTTTTTAAACACAAAATGTGAACAAACAAAATTGTATCATCAACATTCATACAGTAAGAACAGCATATGATTAATAACAATATGTTTCCACCATAAATTTCTAATTGACAAGCCCTATTTCCCACTGACAATTATGTCTTCATGTGCACTCACTCACCTTGTAAAAATGATCATTCTGACAGGACTTGAATGCAGCATTGAATAATGTGTCTAATGGGAGTACAATTAAAATAACTATATTCTACCACAACTAAAGAAGACACATTTAATCCAACACAAAGACGTTCTTGAAAATATGGAGCAGATCCTTTAAGATATGAGAAGACATTTAACCATGTGCAGGTATGTCCGAGCTTTAAAACTTCCTTTTCTGTTGTAATTCCTTTTTTTTTTTGAACACATGCAGAGAACAGACTGGCATTTGTACATGTTTGAAAGACCAGGTTTGAATAGCATTAAGACAGAAATTAATGCAAGACAAAGACGCTTTAACAAAACAAAACAAACAAACAAACAAACAAAAAAAATCTGTATTACTTGCTATTTATTCACTTTTAAAAGTGACTAGCACTCAAATTCCCTCTCATAGCTGTGAGCCAAGGGGTCGGCATGTTCCATTTCATTCCCGTTTGGTAACTACACAATTATGTGGGGCAAAAAGGTTCTTTCTCCATTAACAGCCATTTAAAATGCAACATATATATTAAAGGAATAGTTCACCCCCCCAAAAAAATTCTTTCAAACAAACCCGTAAAACTTTCGTTCATCTTCGAACACAAATAACTTTTTGGTGAAATCTGAGGGATTTCTGTCCCTCTATTGACAGCTAAGCAACTGACACGTTGATGCTTCAAAAAGTTCAACACAGTCTCATGAAAGTGCGGATCTATACCACAAATGTCATTTCTCGTGGCATTTATACGCCAAAAATGGTTTTTGCGTGCATATGCTACGCACTGAAAACCCCTTGGGTAGGTTTAGGGGGGAGGGGGGTGGGGAGTTTGTGTGTATTACACGCCATAAAGTGCGTATCATATGGATGCGAAAAACGCGTACCATATACACGCAAAAACTGTTTTTGGTGTATAAATGGCACGAGAAATGACATTCGTGCAATAGATATGAACTTTCATGAGATTGGGCTCAAACTAATCAATATGAATTGAGCGGACATTCGACATATGAAATGATTCTACTGTTCCAGGTAATCGATGGTAAACCATTTACATAATTTCAACCTATTTTTAGTTACATTTGTGGAGAAAAAATAATCCATATGAATTGAGAGGTTAGGGCCAATCCCAATTCTACCCCTTACCCCTTCACTTTCCCCTTCCCCTCCGTTTTGCGCGTCCACGTGAAGGGGTAGGGTTGTCCCAATTCTCTTTTGGTTGGAGGGGGAGGGCTAGGGGGAAGGGCCAGATAGCCCTTCAAACGAAGATTTTTCGGGAGCACACTTCAAACGAAGGGGTATGAGAAGTGTCACTGCTAACCCAGGCTGGCTGCCCAAGCGACAAAGGAGACCCATAAATTTAAGTATTTGTGGCTTTAATAAGTATTTTAACGACAAATAATGATTTGCTTTATGGTACATTCAATATTGTGTTCATATTTACGGTCATTTTCTTCACAGAAACGTTTGTAAAAAAAACGCAAAAATTACTGTAGTTTGCTAACGATAGTCCTGCAACATATTTTCGTCGTCTCCGTTGTTTCCTGCGAACTTCACAAGATAAATGTAAGAAAATAGCTGTAACCCACGCGACTGAGATAACTGCAGCTGTCGACGGCATCTTGGACGTTGTGATAAACATCAGCGCATCTCCTGTGACGTAGGCGCTAGCGACGACTTATAATGACGTTTAACGGAGGCGTAGTGGTGTCCCATTTCTTAGGGGAATATTTTCACCCCTACGCATTGCCACTCTGTTTCAAGGGTCAAGGGGAAGGCGAAGGGGTAGGGCTAGGGGAAAGTGAAGGGGTAAGGGGTAGAATTGGGATTGGCCCTTAGTCCACATTTTCTGAAGAGACTTGGGGCCAATCCCAATTCTACCCCTTCACTTTCCCCTTCCCCTCCGTTTTGCGCGTCCACGTGAAGGGGTAGGGTTGTCCCAATTCTCTTTTGGTTGGAGGGGGAGGGCTAGGGGGAAGGGCCAGATAGCCCTTCAAACGAAGATTTTTCGGGAGCACACTTCAAACGAAGGGGTATGAGAAGTGTCACTGCTAACCCAGGCTACAGACGCAAAATGGCTGCCCAAGCGAAAAAGGAGACCCATAAATGTAAGTATTTGTGGCTTTAATAAGTATTGTAATGACAAATAATGATTTGCTTTATGTTACATTCAATATTGTGTTCATATTTACGGTCAGTTTCTTTACAGAAACGTTTGTAAAAAAAAAAAAAAAAAAAAAAAATCGCTAAAATTACTGTAGTTTGCTAGCGATAGTCCCGCAACATATTTTTGTCGTCTCCGTTGTTTCCTGCGAACTTCACAAGATAAATGCAAGAAAATAGCTGTAACCCACGCGACTGAGATAACTGCAGCTGTCGACGGCATCTTGGACGTTGTGATAAACATCGGCGCATCTCCTGTGACGTAGGCGCTAGCGACGACTTATAATGACGTTTAACGGAGGCATAGTGGTGTCCCATTTCTTAGGGGAATATTTTCACCCCTACGCATTGCCACTCTGTTTCAAGGGTCAAGGGGAAGGCGAAGGGGTAGGGCTAGGGGAAAGTGAAGGGGTAAGGGGTCGAATTGGGATTGGCCCTTGATCTGGTTTAAATTACACAAATGGTACCATCGATTAGCAATTAACCCTGGAACAGTAGATTTGTCTTTATAGGTGTATAAGTTAATGGTTAAAAATGTCCTATAGAAAAATTAATGTTTTACTTCCAAAACTCTGCACACTATAAGCAGATGTAAGTAATTTCTGATAGTTCACCCCAAAATGAAAAGTTGATAGTGATAGTTCACCCCAAAATGAAAATTCTGTCCATTTCACTCACATGTCCTTCCATGTGAAACACACACAAACAAAAAATGCTGTTTTATGTTCATATAAGTAGTCAGTGGGGCCCAGTGTTGTTTTGAACCCCATTTGACCTTTATTTTTCATGAAATTTTTTTCAGGGGCCCAAAACATCACAGAAAAAGTGAGATACATAAGCAGATTCTGTCTGGGCTTGCTAATGAGGAATGACACTAATTTTTTGAACAGCGCATGATCTTCCAGTGGCTTCACAGATCGAGAATGTGCGACTGAGTCCAAATTTAGCTGCAGCAGCAGACGGCATAAGTCGGGAAGCTCAGAGATGAAATAATTGGGTTATTAAATAAAAGAAAGACATGACAGGCTGTTAGGCATCAACAGGCTGCAAATCAACACACACACACACACACTCAAAAAAGCCACACAGTGTGCTCTAACTGGGGAACCTTAGTAAGATGAATGACAGAGCGCTGATCAAAGCAGTGGTTTTGCTTCCTTTAGGGGAGGCGAAGTGTTTTTTTAAATAGCCCCCTCGAACAGTTTAAACCGATTGAACTGATGGTTTGATTCGTTACTCGAAGATGTTTTCATTGCATTTGTGAAATAAATGATTGCATAATGATATCACAATGTTTTCTAAATCGTTGTCATAAAAAAGTTATTGTCACTTTATTTTTGCTAAGAAGTATCCAACTCATCATGATACGAAAATTGCAATCGTTTTTTTTTTCTTCCCTATTGCAACGTAGGCCTATAGAAGCTTGTTTCTGCCACTGAATAATAAAAAAAAAGTTGGTAATTACTAATTCGTAATTTTTAAGTAACCAGCATTTAATTGTGAGATATAAACTTGCAATTACGAGTTAAAGTTTCAAATTGCGAAATGTAAACTTGCAATTCTGAGAAAGTAAATCTTCGCAAATCAGTTTTTTCCCCTCAGAATTGCAAGATTGTCAATTGTGAGGCGACTTTGTCTAAAAGTCTGAATTTTGAGATAGAAACTACAATTCGGACTTTTTTCTCGCAATTGCGAGTTTATATCTTGAAGTTGTGTTTATTTTTTTACTTGGAATTCTCAGAAATGGGGATGTAAACCCGTAATTGTGAGAAAAGTCAGAATTGTGAGATTAAAAAACAAAATTACCTTTCGTACTTTTAAATTCGTGGCGGAAACAAGCTTCCATATATAGCTGAGACTTCTTGAACAAGAACAAATATATGTAGCCTAAGGTGGGACTTGATTTTGTCAATGCTTCTTGATATAGCAAACTGGTAGGCCTATTTGATATCATTATTGGAATGGATTATTATCATAAAATAAATCATATAGACGAATCCGGCGAAACTACCGGAAGTAAGCGGGGCGCCATTACTGAGCTGTTGCTGGGTAGTGTTGCGCCATTGCCTCCTATTGTTTTAGTTGCAACTTGCGTCCACTGGAATAAACAGCCCGCGATTTACGACTGTCACTAACATTACAACGTTATCCCTTGTATAATGTCGAGTGGGTAAACAGTTTCCGTTATAAATTGTTTCAATGGTGGCAGTAAAATTTCAATTTTGAAGAGAAAACATTGTGAATACCCTGGGTCGAGTGCCCCTGTCTGGTGCCGTACGGTTTACAGATTTCCTGGGCGAGTACAAGACGTGGACATTCGCGTATAATAACAATTATTTAATGACATAAGTAAAAAAATATATAATAAATATGTGATATAGTGATCAGCAAAATCTCCTCTCTTGCTATTTTTTCTATTCAATTAACATGCTATGGTCATTAAATGGCTTTCCTGAGCTAAATGTAACGTTATGTGACATAATTGTTTTCCTGCTGTTATATTGACCTCTTTCCATGGTTTAAAAACACTAAATGGTCGATATTATATGTATACTTTCTAGCTGTTACCTTACCCTTACCTGTTGCAATGTGAAAATGAGATAAATAATGGACACAAATGAAAAACATGAATTTGTTTATTTGATTTCATTCATTTATTTATTTATTGTTGCCAAATGGACAGATCTTTTTATAGTTTCCTCGTTAGCAAATGTTAGCCTAGCTAGCTTGCCAAGCTATTTTCATAAATAACGTTAATCTGTAAAATCGTTTGTACCTTCATCTGTGACTGGAGGCCACTGCAGTCACAGATCAAACCAACAAGTCATTCTGCCTGGCTGTAGCTGTCATCGAGGGTGAGTTCGCGTTATCACCGATGTTTGTTTACATACCGGTGCATATGTCTATATGCCTGTGTAACAGCTCAGTAATGGCGTCGCCACAAGATGGCAGCCTACACAGAACGCTCGTCGGATTCGTCTATATCACGCTAGTTTGTAGAGCAAATAGTTTTACTGTTAACTGCACTTTGTTATTCTTCTAGTCATTTACAGATAGCATGAATCCGGAGCCTTGCACATTTACAGAAAATAGGGGAAAAGATGTAGATAATCCAGAGATTAACTAATGCTTTGCCAAGGACTTCAATCGATTCATTAAAAATGATCGCTTCACTAGAACGATTTGTTAGAGAATCATGACTCTGATCTTCTGACCGGCAGGCAAACTTGCTTTTGAAAGTTGATTTTCTCTCCTCTGTCTAATCTATAGTTGCTCCAAACTTCCATAGCATGTCTCTATATTTGAATATCTTTGAATAAAAGGAAAACTGCTCTATAATTATACCCATGACAGAAAGAGGGCGGGATGGAGAAAGAGTTGAACACTCTGGTTTTAATCTCTTTATAACACCCACCACCAACTAACTCTCACAGACCACCCACCTCTGCTCCATGACTCACTATGAACACGCCAGCCAGCCAGAGACTCATAAAGCACACACACTTACACAAGCTCTCTTTGTTTACACGAGTCATAACAGTGCATGATTAAAATTGATTATTTTTAGTTTCCTGAAGGTGTATTTGAAAAAGAAGAGAATCACATTGTGGGATAAAAGAACAGAAAAGATTTATAAAGATTAAGTAGAACAAAAGAGACAGTATCCACATATCAAACATGCAAATCTCTTCAAAATATCTGAACTGAAAAGACAGTTTTACTGTTCTTAAGTGGTACAAATTGATCTGGAAGGCAAATGTATCTTAAATGATCTATAAATACAGCAAAGAGTCACAAACAGAGAAGACATTCTCTCTGGGGACACCATATGATATCAACAGTCTGTCACATGACATTAACATTAACATAACACTATGTGTTGAATCACTCGTGAGATTTTTATTTTATTTTATTTTTTATAATCAACAATACATGAAGCTCCTGCTACGGACATATGAGGCATCCCTAGTGAAAAAAAAATACCGTATATATATATATACAGTATATATATGAAGAGTTCAGATGCAAAAGCCTCTAAGTGCCATTTGAAATTTTCTTCTAAAATTATCATTTTTATCAAGCTTGTATCTTTAAGTCTGGTAATTTCACTTAAATGGCAATGAAGATTACCTATTAATTGTCATTTAAGTGAAATTACTGAACCTAAATACACAAGCTTGATAAAAATCATCATTCTAGAACAAAATTTCAAATGGCACTTAGAGGCTTTTGCATCTGAACTCTTCATATGTAGAACTGAGCATACTATCATCACAATAATAATATTTTAAAAGTATAATGCTTGTATATTTGTACGACATTCAAAGTGCATTTTAAATGTACTTCTAACGCAGATATGGTACACTTAATGCTTATTAATCAAGCATGTATATTAGTACATACAGCCATTTACTTCAAGTATACAAAGTTTACTTGAAGTGGTTCCACTTTAGCACATAAAAATACACTAAGTACACTTCAAATTATGCTTTTCTACAATTAAATTACAACTAAAATATATTAAGCACAAAATTAGTTGTTCCAAAATAGCATGCTTCAAGTTAAATGATCATTAACAAACTTGAAGTATACTGATGATTAGTCTGGCTTTAAGTATGCTCAAGTATGCTAAGATTTAATATACTTAACATATTTATTTTTCACCAGGGATTAGAGGCACCAAATCAAACTCTCACCTTGTTCATTTTTTTCCATATTTATTTTTTGCTAACAATGCTGCGTGATATGAGTTCTTTCATTATCTCGTTGGTTCCTCCATAGATGGGTTGAACTCTGGAGTCTGCAAAAGCCCTGAAAGAGAGAACATGAGACAGTCATTAAAACGTTTCTGCTGCCTTTTATGTATGGGTCAAGAAACACAGTCTGGCTGGGTGAATCTCAAGAATTTCCAGGTCATATTTCACCTCAAGAACAAAGGAAACAACTAAATACATTATTTTAATTGAAGCTTATTTTTAAGACCATTAAGATATTTCACATTGTGACATTTTCATGGCAAGCACATTTCCTCCTCAAACTTTCATTATTATAATGGGGGAATTCTCATTACCGTAATTCATCAAGACATTTTTTTTTTATGATTCTCATGTATGGTGAATACAGGTTGGGGAAACTTTTTCCAAGTCATCTCAATAGCAAAAAGTGTCTCAATAACCCTGAATAATACATTGCTTTCTAAAATGTAAATCAACATAAGGAAATACAAAAACTTAAACAATAAAAAAAAAATAATAATGTATCTTACATTAAACTACCAAACACCAGAAATGTACTCAAAATGTGCCCAATTGACATGAAACTCTTAAAAGAGCAAAAACTCTTAATGATCCAATAAAATAGGTTTTTTTCCCCCCATTTCATCTTAGGGAGAGATATGTAATTTATCTAAAAACTATTTATATTGTAATCAATATTGTATTCAAAATTGAGCCTTTACTAAACACTATCAGTTTTATATATATATGAATTACCCAGGAGATTCTGAAAGAGGCATTTCACACCTACACAGGGTACAACTGCTGCCAGCAAAATATACAAATATCCACTAGTCAGATTTCTGATTAGTCACTCTTGATAACCACATAGTCAAACTGTTGCTTCCATGGAAAGGCTATTTAAGTGTTTTTCACAATGCACATAGCATTTTTCTATTACTGACAGACATTTGAAGTGTGAGATGGTGTGACAGCAGAGCTGAGAGAAACACGCCCTCTGCTGGATATTAGAAAAACAACTGAACATGCCATTTCAAGCTGGACCTACACACAAGTGTGACGTGACGCCAGAAGCCACGCCCGTTTCCAAACAAGTATATCAAACCCCCTCAAATCACAGTACTGATTGCCTACACCAAACACTGATCCCTAAAGCTACCAGTCACTATACCATTAACCAATAAAATCAGCAACATTTCTGGTTTGGGGGAGAAAACAAAACAAAAATCACGTTTCCTCATTAACTTTGAAACAGGAAGAATCATTGAGAAGACGTAACCCTCACACCAAGTTCTTTTTCATTTACTTCTTATATTTCTCTTTTTTATGACAGACCACAGACCTACCCTTTCGCCTAAGAACCCTTGCAATCGGAAACTTACATACAACAAATGGGGTTTAAGGGGTGGAACGGTAACGGGGAGTCACAAGCTAAAATATAGATAAATTATAGATAGATATAGATAAAATATAGATAAATGTAGATAAAAATAAAACATTTACAAGCTGGCGTAAATGGACATGGGCGCGGCTTCTGACATCACACATGCATGTGGGCGGGGTTGGTTGTACTCCACATGATGCAGCGAGCCCTACTTGGGCTGTCAAGCTATGGAGCCCCTAAAAAACGTGGTGATGGGACAAATATGGGATGGGAGGAAAAAGAGAAGTCGATGCTTTTGTGTTCTCTCGCACAATGTTTTGCGTTCCAAACTCAAGGGTAACACAAACTGTTGCTAGCTCATATTTTTTTCCTCACATCTCATATTTTTCTCATCGCCATGTCCCTTTAGGGGTTCTGTAATCAAGCTGCAAAATATATATATATATATATATATATATATATATATATATATATATATATATATATATATATACGTATATATATATATATATATATATATTCAGTGAATAACTACTTAAATTTTACATTTTTCTTTACACAACGCCATCAAATGTGAATATAGTTTTCACATGTTTCTGTATAAATAAGAAGAAAAAAAAAACACTTTTATTATTATTTTTTTGTCACTGACAGCACCAGTCCCCATTCACTTTCATTGAATGGATGACAGGAGTTTTAGACATATGATGACAAAAAAGAAAGGAAAGGAAAACATTTTCCCCCCCATTTAATATGACTATAACAACTTTTATTTTAGTAGTAGTAGTAGTAGTACTCAATTTAAATGATAAAATTAAACAAATCAACACATAAATATATTACAATTACAATAATATTATTCCACAGTAAAATGAAATAAAATCATTTTATTTTGCACAACAGTTCAATTACAATAACTTCTCTTGTTTTTATCATGAGCTGCTCACATGTATTTTATCAAAAGGCAGCATTGTTTCCGCCTCGGATTAATGCAATTTACATTGTGGGTAAACCATCCATTCAACCAGTGTTTGCAATCACTGTCATCGAACAAACATTGCATTCTGGTTACAAGGGCAAAGTAGTGAAGAAGTGCTGATGTTACTCACTTGGCTATTGGATACTCCCACATGTAGCCCCATCCTCCATGAAGCTGCAGGCATTGAGTGGCAACTCTATTCTGCAAATCTGTAGCCCTGAGGAGGGAAAAAGACACATTCACAATTAGTATTTAACATGAAACATGATATATCATTTCAGCATTGGTGCAATGTCAAGTAACATTGACAGTGACATAACACAGGATTGTAGTTGATAAGTTATCAATACGGTCCAGGTCATTTGGTTCAGAATACATGTGATTTGCATATTATTATCATATTACGCCTGATTTTGTTTTTGGGCTATACTAGAATTTGTTTTCATGCATGATTGTTAAAAAAAAAAAAACACATAATTTTTCATATATTTTACATTATTATAGCTCCTCTCCCCCAGTCTGTCTCGAACACATCATTTTCAATGAATAACCTTATTCCGAAATACTACATGTGTAGTAATTGGCACCACTTATGAAAGGGCGGGAAATGTCCTTCTCTAGTGTAAATATTAAGGATGGAGTCTAGTTCAAACATATTCAAGTGGTATGTTTTTTTTTTCTTGTTTTTTTTTTCACATAGATACATTGTTATACACCATTTAATCATATTTGTTGGAAAACGATTACAATATCATGGATAATTTCACTACGGGGTGGTGAACAGCCTTAAAAAAGAAAGAGCACACAAAAGCTAAAGTAAACACTAAATCAATACTGTAATGCAAGTTATCAGGCTAGCTGGGGCAAAGCTTTGCCCTTCATTTACTTTACAGCTATCATAGCAGTTACATGAAGCTTATTATTGGAACTGTTAATAGAAAACACAACTTCAAATAATAAGACATACTTAAGAGTTGTGATCCATAAACCAAATATTTTCCCGGAAAAAAATAGAACAGCAACATCTTTCTGAATAAGCTTTTGAGAGTAGCCTGCATTTTACTGTCTGTCTGTTGTTCTCCATAAAATTGCAGCACACAGACAAATAATGGGGATATGATGTTCAGGAGCAATGTTAAAAATAAATTAACCATTAAGTTTGTCAGATATTTTGTAGTCCAAACGATACAATTTGTTTACTTAAAGTGGATTCAGTTAAATAAAAAAAATCTGGAGGTCTATGGTCACCACCTCAAAGAGCATGCACAGAGAAGTCCAAATTAAACATGATTTAATGACTCTTAAGTGTAAGTACACATTGATGGCCTAAGACAAGAAACGAGCGGTTTGTGTGAGAAAACGAACAGTATTTAAATCGTTTTTACCTCTCGTAACCACAGCCACGTCCACGTGATCTGAGGGCGCAGGCGCTTTGGTGTGCGCAAGCACCAGAAAGTGCCAAAAGTGATCTCTGAAATCAACGTTGTCTGTTGATATATCGAAATCGTCTTCTATTGTGATTTCCTGTATATGTAAATATGTTAAGGGGTAACACTTCCGAAATCTCTGTGTAAACAATGAGTAACATACACGTTCGAGAGATCGCTTCCGGCGCTTACGCAGACCGAAGCCCCCACCACCTTAGATCACTTAGACGTGGCTGTAGTTACAAGAGGTAAAAACAATATAAATACTGTTCGTTTTCTCACACAAACCGCTCGTTTCGTGTCTTAGGCCATTAATGTGTTCTTACATTTACGAGTCATTAAATCAAGTTTAATTTGGACTTCTCTGTGCATGCTCTTTGAGGTGGTGACCATTGACCTGCATTATATGACTGATAGACAAGAACGGTTTGACCTAAAAATATCAAAATTGAAACTATTGTGGAAATAAAGACACCTACATCTTGGATGCCCTTGAGGTAAGCTAAAACGTACCAAAAAATCATTTCAAAGTGAACTATCCCATTAACAGGTTCTTTAAATTCATGTGTTTACACTTGACATACTATCACAAATAAACGAATAAACACATGGAGGATTGGAACAACATGAGGGTGAGTAAATACTGACAGAATTTTCATTTTTGGGTGAACTAACCCTTTTACCCTTTATTTCGGTGAAATCGAAGAGCGAACTGGTGTGAAGTCATTTCAAACAAAATCAGGTTTGATAGTGAAAAGTATGACATGACGAAGCCTAATTTGCTGAAATAACGTTATTCAGGGAGTACAAAAGTTTCAAAAGTGCCAAACACAAGTGTTCAGTAGATTTACTCAACAAGAGACTCACCAGTATTTGGCCATGGATGCTGTGCTAGAGTCCAGCTTCTGCTCACTGTGGAGCTGAAGGCAGCTGTCAATGAAAGCTCGACCTACACAGATGTCGGACTTCAACTCAGCCAGTTTGTGCTGCACCACCTGAAAGACAGATAGACAATCACATATAGTTTTGATGATGATGAGCTGTTAATAGTGCAAACCTGATTTAGACCTCACTGATTCTACTCATCCATATGCACAAATGAACAACGTAATGGAGCTTATTTAATTTCTCTGAGCATCTGTCTCAAACTGCCGACAGGATGGAGGGATACAGTTACAAAGTGAGAGTGTGGCTGTGACCTTATGTGAGGTTAAAAGCAGAGTAAACAAATGAGGAAACTAATTACGAGGATCTGGCACAGAAACTCAATACAACTGAAAGGGGTTTTTAAAGGGATCATACCATGAAGAATCAAATTTTTCCTTTTTTGAGATAAATAGAGCTGAGATAATAAGAGAGCTGATCATACTATGAAAATAGTCCAATCTTACTATACAAATAATTTCTAGAGTCTAACAGAAACTAACTAAACTAAAAAGTCTCTCATTCTGAAATGGCTGAATTTGTGTCATCAAACCCTCTATAACCATACATAATACGGCTGGGTAATAAATATCGATTTCTCGATATTAATCGATTCTCATTTTTACGAACCGATATCGATTCTTAAATCTCAAGAATCGATTAGTCATCCTGTTTCATTTGAATGAATGGAACATTATATCGCGGCTGCGCGCATCCAAAAAAAAATAAAAAAAAATCGCACTAATCTTTGTCCTTTGTTACTATTGATATGAAACAAAGTCTCAATTTTCAAATTACGTCCATTTCCTTTAGAAATTCAAAAACATAAATAGTGTTTTGGCGCTGTGGCGTGAGATCGCTCTGGCACAGCTCAAGAGAAGCAGCAGCACTGATCTCTCTTCCGGGTTAATAATACCAGTTACAGCGCGAAATAAACATGAATGAGCATCTGAAAGTGTGTTAAAAGATAGAGTATAACTTATCGAAATCCGTATCATGTCACATTGATTCGCTCAATCAGCGTTTCAACCGTGGAAAGACGTCAATTAAGCAGCTTGTAATCAACGTGATCGTCATATTTACCCCAGAAAAAAACCACATAAACTCGTTAGTCAGCTAGAAAAAAATAACTCCAGAGAGGAACATTTTGAGAAATATATGCACCATATTACATGTGCATTATAATCTTAATGTTCTTCAATACTGAATGCATATTTGAATAAATCTGGCAAGTTTTTATGACAGCCACAATTTAAATGTTTATATTTCATATAATCTTCTTATTATAAAAATAAATAAAAGTGTAATTTATTATTATTATTTATTATTATAAAAGTGTTATTTAAGTGTTTGTATAGCTACGAAACAGTTCATTATTACCTTCATAGGCTAATGAAATCTAGTAGGCTACAACTAGACTCCCATAGTTTACAGCATTAGTTAAGAGATTTGATTCCCTTGAGAAAAATTGGCATTTATTGTAACTGATATCCAAAATAATCGATATTGCGTCGAATCGAAATCAAATCGAATTGCAAGCTTGTGAATCGAAATCGAATCGAATTGTGAAATTTGTCTCAATACCCAGCCCTAATACATAATATACATTTACATTTGATGGGTCCCAGTGATGTGGTGTAAATGGAGAAGAGGAGCGGTCCAAGAACAGAACCCTGGGGAACCCCTGTGGAGAGTCGATGTGTTTTGGATACCTCACCTCTCCATGTGACCCTGAATGACCTATCTGTAAGATAGGACTCACAGACAGATCCTTCAGGATCTTTATTGACATTTACATGTCAATAAGGCCTATAAAGTGTTTGTGTTTTTAATCTTGGTCAGTCCGAAGACGATGAGATGATAAATCACTTGTTACAAAATTACACAACCATTTTACATTAATGATTTATTTAAGTCTTATTGAACTCTTTTAGGTTTTTTTGTTTCTCTAAAGCACTAGTACTTCAGTCAAAACAGAAATGATCCTCATATCACAGTTTCCAAAAGTTAGAGAATGGTATTCACAAAATCATAATGAATATACACTCACCTAAAGGATTAGTGTGAATTCTGAGTAGTGTGTATTTGCCAAAAAGTGCAATTATGTGTTCTAATGTAAATTGTACTGACACTACTCATCGTGAAGATTTATGTGCAATGTATGATTGTATTGTGGGTGCTCTGTATGAGGCAAGTAGGCCATACTATACTTGCTCGGATAAGTCATATAACATCAAGCCAGGGTGGAATAAGTTTGTGGCTGCACATAGGGCAGAAGCCAAGGAGGCATTTAAAGCTTGGGTTTTGGTGGGTAGACCTAGACAGGGGCCTGAACTGAACCTAAAAAAAATTACTAATGCTAGGTATAAATACAGTATGCAGTACGTCATATTTGCAAATACGAGCAAGTTATGAGAGCAGACTCTCTGGCTGAAAAACTACTTTGTAATAACACCACTGACTTTTGGAAGGAAGGAAGAGCTAAAAACAAGGTTAATAATCTGTTACCATGCACTATAGAGGGAGTTTCTGGAGCTGATAATATAGCGGAGTTGTGGAGGCAACACTACTCTGCTTTATTTAAAGGATTAGTTCACTTTTGAAAAAAAACTTTTGCTGATAATTTACTCACCCCCATGTCATCCAAGATGTCCATGTCTTTCTTTCCTCAGTCGAAAAGAAATTAAGGTTTTTGATGAAAACATTCCAGGATTTTTCTCCATATAATGCACTTACATGGGAACCAGACGGTTCAAGGTCCAAAAGACAGTTAATAACAGTTTCAGATGCAGCTTCAAATGTCTTTAAACGACACCAGACGATGAATAAGGGTCTTATCATGCGAAACGATCGGTTATTTCAAAACTTATTCCAAAAAATGTAACTTTTCTAAGGACAAATGCTAGCCTTGCTCTATTCTGTGAGGCGCGTTTGTAACGTCACGTAATACGTAATTACGTTCAAAAGGTCACGGGCGACGTAGCCGGAAGTACAGAGTCAGTGTTTACAAGTTGAACGCATAGTGCAAACCAACTCAAACGCTGTTTACAAAAAAGGAATTAAAAGGTAAAAACAACGATGTCGGACGATTTTGATTCTGAACTTCCGGCTACGTCGCCCGTGACCTTTTGAACGTAATTACGTATTGGTATTAATTAACGTATGTATCCCATGTAAGTCCATTATATGGAGAAAAATCCTGGAATGTTTTCATCAAAAACCTTAATTTCTTTTCGACTGAGGAAAGAAAGACATGGACATCTTGGATGACATGGAGGTGAGTAAATTATCAGCAAAATGTTTTTTCAAAAGTGAACTAATCCCTTAACAGTGTCAATTTAACAGTGTCCACTTTTGAAGTGGGAAATATTGCCAAAAGAGACACACTGGGAATTACAATTAATGAGGTTCATCAAGCAACTTCTCAGTTATCTGATAATAGAGCATGTGGTTCATATCAAATCACGGCAGAACATCTTAAGTATGCAAGCCCAAAGGTTGCAGCCCTTCTTGCCTTTTGCTTTAATGGCTTTATGACCCATGGAATGTTACCCGACTCGATGTTAGCTGTTATTCTTGTACCTGTCATAAAAGACAAGGCTGGCAAGGTTGGAAGCATGGAGAATTATAGGCCTATTGCACTAGCTAGTGTGTTATCTAAAGTTTTAGAGAGGATTTTATTAGATCGTCTGAGTGAGTATATTGATACCACAGACAACCAGTTTGGCTTTAAAGGAACACTCCGACTTTTTGGGACTTTAGCCTATTCACCTTACCCTCCAGAGTTAGATAAGTCCATACATACCTTTTTCATCTCCGTGCGTGCTATAAGTATGTTTGACGCACCCACCGCTAGCCTAGCTTAGCACAAAGACTGGATGTGACTGGTTGCAGCTTTCATACTGATCCAAATGAGTGGCAAAATAACGCAAACGTTTTCCTATTTACATGTTGTGGTTTGTATAGTCACATAATGTACAAATAACAAAGTCAAATGAGACAGACATCTAAACGTGGAACTGATTTGTGTTTATATGCCTTAAAAGAAGTAGTTGAAGTGTATAGGAGGCAAAACTCCTCAGTTTTAATTGGTTTTATAGATGCCTCTAAAGCTTTTGACCGAGTCAATCATCGGAAGCTGTTTCTGAAACTGCAATTAAGGAATAAACTGGTATGCTAACCAGAGTATACAGGTCAGATGGGGTAACAGAGTCTCTCTGCTTCGTTTAGGGTTGGTAACGGAGTACGACAAGGGGGGTTACTCTCCCCAGCCCTTTTCAACCTGAATGATTTATCAGAACAACTAAGAGGCGGCAAAACTGGTTGTATGATTGGTAACACGCTAATAAATCATTTTATATATGCCGATGATCTGGCTATTGTCTCTCCTAGAAGTGCTGGATTTCAACAGTTGCTGTATATTTGTTCTGATTATGGGCTCAAATATGATGTGCAGTATAATGCAAAGAAAAGTATGGTCATGATATGCAGAACAAAAGGGGATAAAGACCTCAATTTTCCAGTGTTTTATTTATCAGGCAAAGGCCTAAGTAATTGTAAAAAAACAAAATATCTGGGACACTTTCCCACAGATCAATTGTCTGATGATGATGACATGTATAGGCAGTGTCGTATGCTTTATGCTCAAGCTAACATGTTAGCAAGAAAATTCCACATGTGTTCTGACTTTGTTAAGATAAGGCTTTTTCAAGCCCACTGTAAACATTTGAAATAAAGAAACCATTTACAAACTGACACAGGAAGTGTTTCTGGACAAGTGTTATTTTAGTGTTGTCTTGCAAAATGGTCTATATTCCGGACATCACGGTATTCCGGACACTAGACCGCTTCCCGCAAATTCTATAAATAAACACTTCACGCTCATTGCATCTATATATACTGTAGTACTAGACACAATTTTCTATGAAATATATAGGCCTACACTTTATTGGCTGAACAACTGGCACGAAGATGACACACAAGCTCAGTCTAAACAGTTCTCGGTTCTGTACTGATGATTCGAGAACCGCTGGGCCAGTGCGTTCGGTAGTACACAGATGCGTAGTGTCAGCTGCTCATGCTCATCGCTTCTCTCAGCAGTGGCACCAACATGTCTCAGTTCAGTAAACTGTTGGAGTTACTGGAGTAAAATATAATTCGGGATATTGGTTTATTTCGATTTGGAGGGACTGTGGATCAGCACTGACGCAAGACGCAAACTGTTTAGAACGATTCAGTTCGATTTAGTGTACTGGTTTAGTGTACTGGTTCGACTGGTTCGGAATAATGAAAGATGATGACCAAAGTCCTGGCTTTGATATGTGTACGTCTTCTTGCGATGCTGTGTTGTTACACGTCTATGGCCCAATGACGCTACGATGAGCATTTACTACTTTAAAAAAAACGCGTCAGGAAGTGGGTCGGGTACAATAATTTCGTACTTTTTTTTGCGGTCCGAGTTGCGGGTGAGTTATTTGAAAACGTCGGTCGGGTGTGGGTTGTTTATACATTGACCCGCGCATCACTGATATCCGTATATATCCTCATCCTCTTTCACTTCCGACCAACCCAGCTTATGGTTGTTAAAATGTGTGTTATATATTAGAAATGACTGTCCGAAACACAGCGAGTAGAAATTTTCAGCCCTCCGGAACACCGTGAGTCAATGTACTGTTCCAGCAGTCCTACCTGGAGTCAGACGCACAGTATTTTGGCTTTGTGTCTCACGGTCCACAATGAAAAGAAGTAAGTCACAAGCACTGCCACGATCAGCTCCTGCTCAGCCAAGGCAATTCTGATAACAAGTGTCTTACGGGAATATCAACAATGACAATACAGACCCTCTTTCACAGTGCAGCCAGCGAAATACTTAATCACAGACGTCTACAATTGAGTTCACCCTTTCGGCGGCATTGTAATGGAAAACCCATAACCAGTGTGTATTCAGCTCACGCACAGCCCAAACACAGCTGATGGATGAGTGTCCTTCAGGAATCATGAGAACGATGATCACAACACTCTTCCGCAGTGCAGCCAGCAAAATGATTAAAGACATGAGATTGACTCAGGCTTGTTAAAAACTCCAGCGGCTCGAATTAATCCAGTTCACATTCACTCTGTGTTTTTCAAACTTCCCAGCCTTAACCCTGTTGCTTAATTAATCCCGCTACGTCCTTCCGTCTAACAGAACCTCTACTAATAACCACATTGCATTTTGGTCAATGCAGTTCCTTATTTTCGCCACAAAACCTGCAGATCTATCTGCTGTTTCCTTTAAGTTTATTTCCTGGAAATTTTAGTCTAATCTTAAAATATTGCTTTCTTATGCAACATATTTCATAGCATATTGTTTTTGAATCTGACAATGAGGCTAATACAAAAGAATGGGACAAATCAACACTATATTAGACTCGAGAGTGCTGTATCTCAGTTCACATGTGAAGTGGGTAAATAGGCCCTGTTTACACATGGTATTAAGATGCGTTTTGGTTAATCGGATTACAAGTAGATGAGGCAGACACATTCCCTTTTACATCAGGTGTATTATAATGATTGTTTAAATAATAATAACATTGACATTTTTTGTCTTTTCCCCTTCCCTCAAATACAGTAATTAAATTTTTTTTATTATAAAAAATTGTATAACACCTTGAAAAAAAGAAAAGAAGAAGACCCCTTAAATATTTACCTGCAGGTCAGCGATGGTCTTGCCAAATGCCTTCCGCTGCATTACATAGTTCCTTGTCTCTTCAAACATGAATTCACAGCTGGCAAGGCCCATGGATGCTATAAGAAGGCGTTCCTACAAAATGAAAGAGAAGGAAAATAATGACTGAAAACTCTCCCTATTCCCATTACATAATGGTGAGTCAGAATATTTATAAAACTGTTCAAATTGCAGTATCCTATTCCCTTAAAGGGTTAGTTCACCCAAAAATGAAAATTCTGTCAGTATTTACTCACACTCATGTTGTTCCAACCCAGTAAGACCTTCGTTCATCTTCGGAACACAAATTAAAATATTTTTAATGAAATCTGAGAGCTGCATACTAGTCCATAGGCTTCTTGAGGGATTGAAACTTGCTGGCCTCGAAAAGTTATTAAATACATTGTTAAAATAGTCCAAGTGACTACAGTGGCTCAATCTTAACTTTATCAAATGATGAGAATACTTTTTGTGCGCAAAAACAATAAAAAATAACGACTTTTTTTAACTATTCACTTCCTTCTCTATGGGCCTGTAGTCTGTTAACGTAGTGTGATAGTGTAGAGCTATGTCACACGTCTCACTATTGGCGACGCTGGTCATGTGTGTGATGCGTGTGACGTACAATAACAAAGGCTTAGGTTATTAAACTAGTAACCTGACTCGAGGCAGAGAGAGAAGTAAATGAATAGTTGAAATAAAGTAGTTATTTTTGTTGTATTTTGCGCACAAAAAGTTTTCTCGTCATTTGATAAAGTTAAGATTGAGCCACTCTAGTCACTTGGACTATTTTAACGAAGTCTTTAATAAATTTTCGAGGCCGGCAAGTTTCAATCCCTCAAGAAGCCTATGGACTAGTATGCAGGAGTGATCCAGCTCTCAGATTTCATCAAAAATATCTTAATTTGTGTTCTGAAAATGAACAAAGGTCTTACGTGATCGGAACAACATGAGGGTGAGTAAATGAAGAGTTCAGATGCAAAAGCCTCTAAGGCTTTCACTTAAATGGCAATAATAATTACCTATTAATTGTTATTTAAGTGAAATTACTGAACTTAAATATACAAGTTTGATAAAAATCATCATTAAAGAAGAAAATTTCAAAAGGCTTTTGCATCTGAACTCTTCAAATACTGACAGAATTTTCATTTTTGGGTAAACTAACCCTTTAATATTTTGATATTTTCTACTGACAATGCAATCCATGTACAAAAGATCATCACAGACGGATGCAATACTGTATGTGAGGGGGAATTGGTTGGCTGCTGAAGTTAAAAGAAGGGGAGATCAATTTAAATAATACAAATCACACATATACAATACAAATACAATTCTTCTACAAAAGCACACAGAGCTTATAAACACTAATAGTATTACGGTATTATACAGAGGTCGGAAGAAACAAAAATATAATTTAAACTTCTGAAGGCAGATAGTTTCCGTCAGAGCTAGAAAGTAGAAGATTTGTGCTCTCACTGTTATACCTGTGGCAGCTCATTCATCAGATAATAAAATCCTTTATTGGCCTGACCCAACAAAGCTTCAGCGGGCAAACGCACATCCTCAAAAAACAGCTCGGCTGTATCCTGCACAGAAACAAACACCCAATATATTTATAACCAGACCTCTATAATGTTTCAATAAATTCTAATCACTCTTAAACAAGATAACAAATCATATGCATTCAAAATAGTTGTTATTTATATAAAAGGATTCAGGAGGCACCTGAGCTTTGAGCCCAAGCTTCTCCAGCTTGCGCCCCTTTTGGAAGCCCTTAGTGCCACCATCAACCAGGAAAAGACTGATTCCATGAGCTGCTGTCTTCGCTTCACGGTTAGTCACGGCAACTACAATCACTACATCACTCATCCAGCCATTTGTGATGAACACCTGAAAAAAAGTGACAGAAATAGAAGACAAAACCAGATGGAAAATTGAATATTCATAACAGCCTACCAACTAATCTGCAAAATAGTCACTCTGCACTCTCTCAAGTTCGGTATTTTACAATTAAAGCCCTGTTTTAAGATCATTTCTGATGAAATAGAATGGTTAAGATTGTTTTTTAGACAAATGCTGCTGTCCCGAGTATTTTCGGATTCTGCGGTAGCAAACTTCCTCTGAAAAATACACCACGGAGGGGCTGCCGTGAGAAATGAGAGTTCTGGGAACTAGGTCAAGATTTGGCCAATAGTTTGGCCACTAACAAGATCTGCTCCTCATCCTCCCTGACATTGCACAGTGTAACAGTCCCTGCCTGTCACAGGGTTTATTTTATTCCAATTGTGGGTATTATTTGTTTCCTAGCCACTAGGGGCACCAAGAGGACATGTATATATATATATATATATATATATTGATTTATCACTTTTTAATACTTTTTAAAACCCCGTGGACACCCTAATTTTTGATCTCATGATGTTCCCTTTATGTGGTTTGGCCTTTGTCTTCATTCTCTCTTCTAAACTATTTTGGTCTGAAACGTGACTTGCATACTATGGTTAACCAAATCATAAGTGTAGCATGTTTAGTCTCTATAAACTCCAATCTTCGTCCCCCATTTGATAATTTACATGACATTTTGCTACCTTTATGGCGCATTAGTATTATAAGAATCTAGTAGATTCTTTTCATAAACACCTAATGAAATTAAACATTACACATGGGCGTGTTAGGACTAAACTGATAGTTTGCTCAGGCTGTTGAATCTGCTGAACTTCAAACAACTTCTCGCTTTTAGAAAGAAATCGCAGCTCATAAGCAAACTATATAGACGCTGCTGAGATATGTCACGTGTCTTTGCAGGTTGTGTGTGAACGCACTCTCTGATTCCTTAAATACTGAGTCAACTCAGCAACAGGAGCTGCTTGTACCAAAGAAACACGCGAAAGTGAGAGACTGACAAATGCCCAGCAACAAGTGCCTCCATTCCACAAAGCAGGTTTCGATAACACAAGCATTTACAAATGCTACACAATATGAAAAGGATTTTTTTTTTTATACAAGTTATATTTAACTTTTCAGGTGGCAATTTTTACAATAATTTATTTTGTTTACAAAAATAACTATTTTTGACATTTTTCTATATTTTTCTATAAAAATATTTTAGTTTTATACAAGTTATATTTTACTTTTCAGATGGCAATTTTTACAATAATTTATTTTGTTTACAAAAAGAACTATTTTGACATTTTTCTATATTTTTCTATAAAAATATTTTAGTTTTATACAAGTTATATTTTACTTTTCAGATGGCAATTTTTACAATAATTTATTTTGTTTACAAAAAGAAATATTTTCGACATTTTTCTATATTTTTCAATATTTAATAAGCGTTAAAGGCTATCTATGTGTTTCCTTATTTTAGAATCACAAAGATAGGATTATGCACTCTTTCATTAGAAAAAAAATACATACATATTTACAGTATAAGCCTTGCCAGTGACATATGAGAAAGAAAAAAAATCAAAATAATCATTCAATAATTAATTAATCGATTAATCGTGATTTTGATTTTAGCCAAAATCGTCCAGCCCTAATCTTTGCATCACTTGCCATTGTTCATACCTTGCTTCCATTAAGAATCCAGTCGGTTCCATCTTTTTTTGCATACGTCTTCACTCCTTGAAGGTCACTTCATAAAAGAAAATAGAAGATGTGAACCGGGACGACTCAGTGAACAAAAGAATATATCACAATATGTCTTTGTATGTTTAAAAGTCAAGTTGAATTGTTCACCCATCCAAGGAACTAAAGTTCCATTTATTCTTTAATGTCATGCCTCCACTGAATCTCACCTGCCAGCTCCAGGTTCTGTCATAGCGATGGCCCCAATGCATTTCCCAGCAGTCATCTGTGGAATATAGCGCTCGATCTGAGCTTTAGAGCCATAGTGACTGATATAAGGCATTACAATCTCAGAGTGGAGAGAGAACCCAGGGCCACTGCAGTTACTAGGGTTGTGCCGATAGACGATAGTATCGTGTATCGACGATAGTCTGACATATCGCCGATGGCAGATGCCTTTGACGATATCAATACGATAATTGGCTCGTTTTACCATAATGTATTAAATTATTATTATTAGGCCTATAATTATTATTATAAAGCTAGTATTGTTATTAAATGAATATTAGGAACTACAATTAATTTGCCTTGCCTAAATTTACAACGACATCACCTCATAACAATGCAACAACACACGCACTAATGAGGACTCCTCTTAGAGAATGTTTTTAAAACAGACTAAAAAACATCCCACATCAAAATTCAATCGCAAGGTGATCCATTCACAAATTATCAAGTGTGCTCGTTTTAACAGACGCAAAATTAAATTTCCTACAGATCCAAGATGAAAACGGCATCGTTGTTCGTCAGTATTTGTTTCTGCACATTAACAAAACGTTTAATGACACTAACACTAAAAACAATACAATTACTAAATAGTATTAATAATAATATCACTAAAATAGTATTATAGTTACCGTTATCATCGTCGTCTCTGAGGGAACGCGGCGTTAATGCAGATGCCGAAAGCAGTCCGTTTTTACTTTCACTTTCAGAGATAGAGCGCGTTTACATGCGACGACGTTCTTAACCTGATTATGTTGAATAAACTTGACAATGCATGTGGTCATGTAAACGTTTCCTTTATCAGAGTCAAGTCATAAGTATAAGTATAAACCGATCGACTCAGCTAGACGTTTGGCCCTTGCTCTTGTTTCTATCGGCATTTAAAACACATTAACCCGCGTACTTCGTGCTTACTGAAGTGCGCATGTGAAGTGCGCAGAGAACGCACAGGGGGGCACATATCGCAAACTCCGACTCTTTCTGACCCAAGAAATTATTAAAACGTGTTTTCATCTCGTGCAGAAATAGACCAAAATGCTGCATGTAATGGCATGAGAATAGGCTAATGTGTCCGTAAATTTCCCGTTGACAAACAAAAGGATTAGGATCTCTTTTTTTTACTTCACTATACCAGGAAATAACCTGATCCTATTAATAAACACTCCACCTTTGCTAGCAAAATAGAAAAAAGATTCTCGTATATAAAACGAAGTAGGCTAATAAAACAAGCAAATTAATGAGTAGGCTAAATAATCAAGTTAATAATCAAATAAGTTAGCCCCGCCCCCTCACGATAATATCGTGTATCGCCGATCTCACAGGCTGACGATAGGACGATATGAAAATGGAGCATATCGCCCAACACTAGCAGTTACAGTACATTCTACAACACAAACAGAGCCAGAACACACGCTACATTACACCACACACAGACACACAAAGCCAAGGGAAAAACCGAACTCAATGCACCATTCAGAAACGAATTTCAGGCCTGAATTTGACTTGAAGCAACATGAAGGACATAGAATTGCAATTCAAGTTTTACTTTAAAGGAAGTAGAATTACAATTGAATCATTAAAAACATAACATATGACTGCTGTAAGTATAAATAATATAATTTCTTTAAGTGTATTTTTAAATAATTACCCCAAAACATATCCTGCCGATTACATGCATTTAAAGAAACATTAAATGATATTTATATAAATAATCAATGCTTGGAAATGTCTCCTGTACAAATATATTTTAATATAGATTTAAAATAATGATATTTAAATTAACTTTCATTTATATCAGCATCTATTAATCAATATTCATATTCCTATATGTCCATATTCCTAATATATCTATCACATTTTCTTTCATTATTATTTGAAGTTTCCGGAATATAATATTCAGGACATTTAGTGGTGTTTGTTTTGTGGTCGCAAAATTAAAATTTGTATCGATGACTGTGGTAATTATTAAAACACTAATATTTATTTATTTTGTGTGCTAATTTGAAGACAAAGAGACATGAATCTTATATTTATTATTATAAAAATTCCCCTTCCCGCACCCAAAACACACTTCACAGATGGAAGGAGATTTTAGAAAGACATTTATGAATGTCTTAAAAATGTAAAGAACTTTAGTCAAGTCAATTTTAAGGTGTTCATTCGATTCCCAGAATGCAGCATGTGGAGCTCCAGCATGGGATCTCATTCTGTGCATCATACATCCATTTGTATGGCATTGCACATGTGCAGAACTTCCCAGTTTTGGTTTTGGTTTTGGATTTGGCCACTTCATTCCAAACGACGTGGTTTTAATCGGACTTGGCTACTAGTCTGATTACAAACATGTGGATGAAACATGAAACGTGGATTATTAAGGAAACATGGATTATTAAGGTCCATATAACTGTTTACACATTTTAAAATTACGAATTTTTCCCAATCTACTGTAGGGTCAGACAGGTAGGGGAGGAGTTACTGTGACAGGTGAGGGCAGGGTTACTCACTGCTCCTCCCACACGATATTAGCCGACAGGAGGTCTCCTCCGATTCCTCCATGCTCCTCAGGTGTATATATTCCCAGCAATCCGTGTTCTCCAGCCCTTTCCCAAACCTCTCTGCTGACCTCACCAGCCTTCTCCCATCTATAAGCAATCATATGCGCATACATTTAAGACTGTACCACATTTTCATTCTGTATCTATTACATCTCACAATCAGGAAAAGACAAACTGGTGACTTACTGAGTATGATATGGAACAACTTCCTCTTGAAAGAAGCGCCGCACATTCTGACGGAACAGGTCGTGTTCCTCGGAGAAGATCCGTCTGGTGCCGATGTCCATCATGGTCTTGGCCATGGATGTTTCAGGTCGAAAAGGTGCTGGAGTTTCCCCATGCTGGAGCTCCGCATGCAGCATTCTGGGAATCAAATTAATACCTTAAAATAGACTTGGCTATAGTTCTTTAAATATTAAAAATATATTACATATTATATATTTTTACCTCTAATTTAATAATAGATTCAACCACATTCGGATACCATTTATGTGGGACAAAGGTCCATATTCAGAAAAGCATGATAATACTACTTTTGGTACATTTTTTAAGTGTAATATTCCTCAAAACGTTCTATTAATTTGCATTCTAATTTCACTCATAGGAAACACCAGTGCCATTTTAAAATAAATATTAACACTGATTATTCCGTTTTGTTGAACAAAAAAAAAAATCTAATTCTAACAATTCAGGATGTGACATTAACCAAACCAAACCACGGTGATTTACTTTTGACCCCTTTCCATAATTCAATTTAAAGCTATCCACTTTATATTTCGTTATAATCCAGAAATTCAACATGTCTGATGAAAGTTGCACCCCAAGTAATCTTGAAAAGTGTCTGTTACAGCAAATGAGTTACATAATTTACATAACTTATTTAAAAAAATAATAAGTTTCATAATTTACATAAATTACATAATTTTACATAATTTCATATTTTTTTTTAATCCATAATTTACGGGAAAATGGATCGGTAATGATTATTTACTGATTATTTAAGATAAAAGATAATAATTTTAACTGGGGAGAAAAAAAATGCTAGAGTTAAAACCTGTTATTTGGTCAACTATGTTGACTTAAGTTACCATATAAAACAAATAAAACTATATTTTACAAGACAATATATTTATTGTATTAGAGGTACAGTACTGATTTAAGCTTATTTACAGTAAAGTTATAGTACAACACCTAAATATTTCAGTAATAAAATGAACTATTTGTCTGTGTGAATTTTTAATTAATGTATCACAGAATTTCTCTGAAGAGAACACATTAAAGAAAATTAAATTTATATGGAGAAAGAAAATGACTCACCTAGACATAGTCACGGTAAAAGCCTGTTTACTCTGCAAATAAACATTTTTAGTTGCAGGAGATAAACTCCTTATTGTCTTAAGTGCAAACATTCTGATAGTGAAGGTGATCGACTCAAACGCTGCAGCTAAATTTTTGACAGGTCGAATACTGTCCGTGAACTTTACTGTGACTTTACTCAGAGAACTGAAAAACACTTCCGTCTAAAAGAATACATAAATACAACATGTCAAAATAAGAGTCTTATCACATGAATGGTGTTGCAGTGACACCTATCTGTACAAAGAAGTAACCGACACATTAATTAATTCTGAACCAATGACCTGAGCAGACGTACCCCCCAATAAATAATTATTTATTTTCTTCTCATTATTAATGTATATACCTTTTCGTTTGCAATAATAAATACACTTGAGCAGACATTTGTCCATTGCCTGGGTATAAAATAAAATATTTTTTTTTCTCTGTCTGAATTTACTTGCGCAGGCAGAGACAACGGTCACACACACAGTTCATAAATTGACAGTATGACACTGTTTTAAGTGCAGTGATTGGAGGGAGTGTAATAAAGTAAACTGCACATAGTCTGAAAAGTTAAGAATTGTTTCTGGTGTGTTTTGTGCAGTGAACTGTTACTAGTTTGAGTGCAGTGTTGTGCTTATGGGACTGGAGATATAGAGGAGCAAACTAAAACACTGGGGTGGGAAAAGGAAGGATTTCAATAGATTTTTATTGAGAAACAAAAAATGTTTCAAGTGTGTTGGGGTTTAGATGATTCCTCTTTTTGGACAAAACCTCTCCAGTCTTGGAAAAGATCCTTTCACAAGGAACAGAGGATGCAGGGGAACATGCCAGTGCCAGTTGGTATAAATGAAGATACTGATGCTTCTGTTGAGCCCAGATGGTGAGGATCTCCTCTTTCTTGCAGGCTCCATTACCAGGAAAAAGGAAGAGTCGCAAAAAGTAAATCCAAAAGGGCAATCCAAACCAAAAACCAGTCCAGTTCCAAAAATCCAAAGCAATCCAAATCTTATCTAATATAACAAGACTATAATATAGCAATTATTATAAGTATTCTAACCTGATATAATGTAATAATACACAGCCCTAACACATATATGACACAATAACAACAATGCCAATGAGATTTCTGTAACTCTCTGACACACCTGCTTCTTCTACTCCTGCAACACCAAGAAGGTGGCGCAAGTTTCGAATCCCGTTTATCCGGACTAAACCGACGACGTTTTCAAACAAACCGAGGCACCGTTTGTCATTTGTCACGTGATTTTCATGTTAACAACACCAGGCTTCATCTGGCACGTCCATTTTTTCTCGACACAAGCTCCGACGACTCGGTTTAAATGTCACACCACTACTTGTCATGTCTTATCAGGGCTTTAGTACCAAATCGTCTAGTCTTCGTTTGAGTGTTTGTGCTAAACTTGTGCTCCCTACAAACAAGGGACGTCCCCCGGACTTTTCAAACGTCCCCTTAGGTCCGCATTAGGTCCGCTTTGTAACGTTCCCTAGCGGACGTTCGGAGGACGTCCGCACTTGGTCCCCTTTGTAACGTTCGCCGACGGACATTCCGATGACGTTCGCATTTGGTCCCCTTTGTAACGTTCGCGGACGGACATTCCGATGACGTTCGCATTTGGTCCGCTTTGTAACGTTCGCTGGCGGACATTCCGATGACGTTCGCATTTGGTCCGCTTTGTAACGTTCGCTGGCGGACATTCCGATGACGTTCGCATTTGATCCATTCTATAACGTTCGCTGACGGACGTTCTGAGGACATTTGTCCGGGCCAGTTTGCGAACGTCCCTATTTCGTCCCTCACCTGGCATTTCCATGACAACACTTAACCAGTCGCCCATGTTTGCTATCATCAACTGAAACTTTACAACTCAGACAAACGAATAATTAAACTAAATATAAATGCAAATATTTGCATTGATTGTAAAATTAAGTTAATGCTAAAATGTTAGTGTTTTAATGTTAAGATAATGTTCATGTTACTTCATGTAAATTCTAATCACTAATTAAAGATGTATACCACGAGTCTGTTTTCACCCGTTATAATTTAAACATCAAAAACATGACAATTGATTCAATTGAATATGAGCTATAATTTATAAAGGCTATTCACATGCACAGAGATTGAATCCCAGGAGCTAATGCATCGACTTCAAATGATGAATGCAGCCAAGGAAAACGTGAAGAATGGAAAAGTGGATAATAACAGGTAAGACAAATAAAAGTATCCTAAACATTTACCTGTCAAACTTTGGTCAGGAGAAGGTGACTGGTTTTATTAAAAATAATTTATTTTAGGAAAAATATTGTTATAATTATTGTACTTAAGACTGATAGCACATACAGAACAAATAACAAAAAACAAAACAAAAAAACATTGGAGAAACAAGCGAGTGATGATCAAATCATAGAATCAAATGCGGCTAAGCGAGTGACGTCATTCCTTATGTACGCGGTTTGTATCACAGTCTATGGTTTGTATCCATGGCAACGCTCAGCTGGGTAGCGTAGTGACAGTTAACGGTCCTTCTCAGACGCAGCCTTGTGTTTCCTCTGTCCGTCGTCTGTCTAAAAGGTATTTTTAATTATATTATTATAAATTAGTCACCATAACCACTGTCCATCTTCAAATTATATGAAAATGTTACCTTTTAAAACGTTTGCTGAAGTTGTCCGCAATGTACCGCTGATAACCGTTATATGCTAATATGAGTAGCAGCTACGAAGCTAACAGCTGAAAATGAGACAACATTTCACATATTGATAAAATCATAATGGAATATGTTCATTTTTGTTGTTTTAGGTAACGTTAGACGCCGAAGGGGGAGAGCCATCGGATTAATCCCACAGCTGACCGACAAACACACACACACACAGCTGCCAGCGCATTTGAAGACACACACACACGGAAATGCCACCTTTACAATTGTTTTAAATAAATAATGTACTTTGTACCTTACACCGCGTCTGTTTTCTTTGGTTAGCCAGAAGTAAAATAAAATAAAATGATATTCAGGGGACTAAACGCGAAAGTCTCATAAACGTCCCGGATGGCCGCTGGTGGTCCTGGGAACGTCCTCTTGAACGTCCGGAGGACGTCTTCGCGAATGTCCGCGGGACATCAAGCGGACTCCACATGGGGACGTTCGGGGGGACGTTCGCACAGGCCATTTAGGGGACGTTCTGGGGACCTTTTTTTGTTAGCTGGGCTCTGCCCAGCTCTCCTGCTACCGAACACTGAGATCGGTCCTGTGAGTACATCTGTCTACGGCCACTGCTGTTCACCTACCCAGATCTCTTCTACCAGTATCTCCCGGTCTCTGTTCATTGCAAGCTTATGTTCATTATTATTGAGAGACTTTCTGTTTGCCAGCCTACGCTGCCAATTCCCTAATTTCTTTTAAAGACTTTGTTACCTGTCCTGCCATCGCTTTTGGGTCCTCTCTCCTCTCTGACAAGGATACACTTAGAAGAAAATGGTTCTATATAGAACCTTAAAAGGTTATATCAGTGCTACGTCTTTAGAACCCCTAAAAGGTTCTATGCACTCTTAAAAAAAGGGGTTCCATACTTGGCCAATAGAATCTTTTACCAAAAAAAAAAATGGTTCTATAGAACCATTTTGCAGTTCCATATATGAAGCGGGGGATGGAACCATTTCTGGTTCTAAATAGAGTGTACCACAGGAGAGGGTACGTCATAATCGAACATGGAGGAGAACAGGGATGCAGGTGTTTTGAAATGTGAGTATAAATGACCCTAAACATGGTTCCTTTAGTTAGAATCACATTTGTTAAACAACTGTAGAGTGAACTGTTGAAGGTGTAAAGACGCTAGGTAGTATATTTGTTATTTTGCTGTAAAAATGTTTTATTTTGTACTGCTAACAGGGGCCAAGACAGCAACATAGTGATGGCCCACATCTGGCCCACATCTGGTATATGTGGATACAAAGCGTACCAGATGTGGGCCAGATGTAGCACACACACATGGATTTACATAAACCATATAAATACGCTTACTAAATGTCTGTTTAACATCTGACAGGAAAATCTATGAGAGGTATTGCAGATGAGCACGTCACAACATGACACATACACAATGCATTTTGTGTTCATGCATATCTGTTATATTACAAAACAAATTACATTTTGCTTGTTTTACTAAAATATATTTTCAGGGAAAAAAAAGAAAAAAAATTTCCTCTGGCAATTGTAATGAATATAGATATTTTTCAAGGTATTGTTTCAAAGTTATAAATGACAATGGTGTAGTGTGCCATGTCTGAATAAAGGTTGAGAAACACTGATTTAGATAGTGTGGATCTTATTTCAGCAAATTACCTCTCATGCAATCTATCCCCGGCTGTGTGTTGTATTTGTAGTATACAAATGTAGCTACCATGTATCAAAGTTTGAGAGATATACAAAACAACCACTGATTTACTGATGCTCACTTGTATGCAAATAAAAGAGAACAACTGATATGAAAGTTATTTTTGTACTCAAAGATCGCTTATTTTACACTTAAAATACACTTGAAATTTTTATTCATTAACAGTTTAACTTAGTAACATGTTATTTTGTTTATCAATGTAATAAAATAGAACTTAGCAAACATCATCCAAAAACCTGTTAAGATTCAGGAGAGCACAATGTAATTTTTTGCAAACATTAGTAAATAGCTTAATATGTGAATATTTGAGTTGAGTTATTCAATTTTCAATTCAGTTATTAATTAGCTATATGTGGATCAACTACAATAGAAGAACTAGAATAAATTCCTAATAAAATACACCTGTCAGGATAATATTCTGGTCTGCTTATTATTATTATTAGTATTTATTTATTTATTTTGTGTGTGTGTGTGTGTGTGTGTGTGTGTGTGTGTGTGTGTGTGTGTGTGTGTGTGTGTGTGTGTGTGTGTGTGTGTGTTTCGTTTTGATTCTGCTTCCTATAATGAGGCCTGTACCATGATGGTAGTTGAACAAACTCAGGGTTGCAGGATTAGTTTCTAGTTGACAAAACCAAACCAATCCAGCCAGGATTTGTTGACACCATGATGCTGATCATCAGCTTTCTCTATCAACTCAGGCTTTGATCCACAATAACGAGTCCCAAGATCCAAATGCAAGTAAACTGTTTATTAATGACAGGCAGCCCAGGACAAATCTCAAAACGCCACTTATGCAGGCAGGCGACCTGAATGCGACAATCCCAAAAGAGAGTCAGTAGACGGAAACAACGCTGCAAGGACTCAGAGAAAATAAGAGGAAATAAAGGAACTAGGTGAGAGAACACAAACAAGAGGAATGAAAAACCCTAAAAGCAGCCAACAAGCAGTAGAGATTAGCTGCAGCTGAAGACTGATTGAAGGATCAGCTGGTTACCTGGCATTGGCAACATACAAGCGCTAACACACACAGACCCACAAATACAAACACACCAACAGATTTCCAAAATGAACACACGGATCAATGAACCATGACAGTTTTGGTGTGACATCAGTGAAACTGCAATTAATTTCTTGCGAGAGAAGCAGCGCGGTTCACTTCTCTCTTCTCTCTCTTCAGAAAATTACGAGATTTAAAAAATACTAAGAAAATAGCAGTCTATGAAAGAGGACAACTAAAAGAAAAAAGTCTTGCTATATCAGTGCAAGTAAAAGTTGTGAAGTTAGTTTATAGTTGATAAAGGTAGAGAAAATTGAACATTTAAGCTCACATGTAGTCATTTTACTCGAGTCTTATCAAACAGCAACAGTAGTGTCGTCCCAGATTCGGCCCACATCTGGTACACATGGATTCCACACGGACCAGATGTGGGCCGGATCTGGACCAATACTATGTTGTTGTCTGGGATACTACCCCCAGGAGCGTAGTTTGCTCTTAGGGAGACAGTACGTCTTTCTTGGCATTACGCATCATCCCCAAATACCTAATATGGCCACGGATGACATCTCGATGCCATACTGCCATCTTTTGTGACTGAGCTAGAATTAACCAGTTGTCTATTTAATTGAGGACACGAATGCCCTGGAGTCTCAATTCATGTATTCTCTCTGAAGAACGGGTTTGAGGCTGTTTACGGGGGGTATGGGCGGCGCCATACTGGAAAATATTGGGAAATACAAAATACAAAAGTTTCAGAAAGGATACAGAGGTGGTATGATGTGTCGTGTCAGATCATGGCTGAGACGTCAAATTCACTCGGCGCAGCCCGTTATCAGCTGTCAATCAAAGTTAACTGCCCTTATTTTTCATACATTTTTTTTTATATCTAAATATGATCTCAACTAATGAGTTAGAAAAAAATGCCCCCCCCCCCCCCTCACAGTTGTCAGGTACGCGGAGCATATTGAAGATTACAATAAAAGTCCATGGGACCAAACTGTAAACATATGAATTTATGCTGTGAAAATGGATATTTTAACATGACAGTCATTCAAGTTATAGCGATCCAAACTAGCTAGGGCGAACGCAAAGGAAGATATTTGGAAGAATGTTTTAATCAAACAGATCCTACTATGGTAGTCAATGGGGAATGAGATCTGTTTGATTAAAACACTCTTCCAAATATCTTCCTTTGTGTTCAGCAGAACAAATAAACACATAGAGGTTTGGAACAACATGAGGGTGAGTAAATACTGACAGAATTTTCATTTTTGGGTGAACTAACGCTTTAAGAGAAGTAAATAAAGAGAAGTAGAAATGTGGTCACTATTTCACATAGAGCCTCGTGCATGCTTGGCCTTAAACAATAAGTATATTTCAAGTTAGTTTTATTAAATAAATTGTTGTATGTAAAATAATCATGTTTAAATTTATTTTCAGGTATACTTGAAATGTACTATTATGAATGTACTAGGCCCTATTGTAAGTGTACTATTTTAATACTTCTTGCACCTAAATTGGCCTATTTTTAACTGGGTTGAGTTTACATGCTAACAAACAGATTAGTTTAACTAATGTACAGTCATCCCAGATCAGTTTTAGCAAAATTTGTGTGAAAATGATTGGCTTGTATATTTTGTCACATAGAAAGAAATTGAGGACAGATGATTGGAAGATAAATGTTATTTGTTTTATTTGAAATATATTTTATTAAAAAAATGTTATTGGCTTATGGATATTTTTTATTGAACACATACTATTATATATTAAATATTTATATATTATTTCATCTTATATTGTACTTAGTGCAAAATGAATAAATGGCATAAATGGCTTAAAATGTACTAAACTTTAATGCCTACTTAAAACTAAGAAGTTGACTAGAAAAATTAGCAAACTAACATATAGATTTACTTGTAGTACAGTTGTGCAATATATTGAAAAATATTGAAGTGAAGTACACTTAAAAGTCTACTTTTATAAACTAAAAACACTGTGCGTGTAAGTGTGAGTGTGTGTGTGTGCCAGTGTGTGTGTGTGTGTGTGTGTGTGTGTGCGCATTTGCGTGTGTTTCTTTACTTCTCTAAACTCCACACCACCAAAAATAAAACCACAAACCCAGATAGGGAAAGAGATTGGCCAAAAGTTGTTCCATGGTAGAGAGTGGTCTTGATTGCAATTGACCCTTTTCACATTTCCGGGTTTCTCAGAAGTTGAAGTTGTCACAGTTGGTTGGGTAAACTTCTGTAGCAGTGAAAGAGTCTACAATTTGCACATATAGCAAAAAAAAAAAAAAAAAAAAAAAAAAAAACCTCCACAACTGTGTTTTCACAACTTTCATAAAGGGTAAAAAAAAAAAAAAAATAGAGAGGGATTGATCTAGTTCAGTCAGGTGGGTGTGCAGGATCACGACCGTTTTTTTGTATTTATTTTGTAGCATGTGATTCACTACATTGTTGATGATAGGCGAGTAGATGTAGTAATAAGTGAATTACAAGTGACGAAGATGACTGACAGAAAATTTGTGGATATATTTGTATTTTTTGAGCGTTTAAAAATAAAAAATGGCATCTGAAGATGGAAAAGCAGCTAAAAATGTGTTCTCTTGCGTCAAAGCAATATTAGAAAAATCCAAAGGACAAATGTATATGCGCTAAAAATGATGCTTTGCCTCCCTTCGGTTATATTTGAATAACTCTTGCTCAGAATGTGATAGAGAAAAAAAAACTTCTTTTTGTTTTTCTGGTGGATACTGTTACTTGGTGTAGTCAAACAATATAGCCTAATCAGCAGGTCATAAATGCATATTATAAGACAAATTAAGTGTTTTTTTTATCCTAGCATGCATGTTAAACTGTTTTGGGAACTCCTAAAACAAAAATAGGAACATTTCAAATGCTATGATAGGGGCTCTTTAAATTTCTTACACTGTATGTGTCGGGTAAATATTTTGGGTGTGTTAAATTCAGGCAGAATTCCAAAATATGCCTTAGAGTGGAAGAGGTTAAGAAAACATACTGTTATAAAAAGTCTCCACAATCTTAAGTTGTGTGTCTCTCAAAAAGTAAAACAGCATTTTGATCATCTATTTTTTTTATTAGTCAACCCTTCCTTCCAACACATTTATATGACCATGGCAAACTGTATGAAAAGTGTACAAACTGTTGTCTCATATGCTAATTTTTACTTGTGAATCCTTTGTTGTGATCTTATTGGCTGATATGTTCTGTAGGGGTGTTCAAAAAAATGCTTAAAAGCATATGTACTATTCCTCAATTTTGTGCTCTAAAGCTGTGAGTACTTGTCTCCTTTACTGCAATGAAGACTGTTGTGTTCACTTTTCTGGTTGTGGCTGTGGGTATGTAGATCTCTCTTATTAGTCATTATTCATGACAATTGTTAGATTATCCCTACTCTGATATGTATTATAGATAGTCTTTAGCATTAATAAAAGAACAATTTATTTTTCAATGAAGTTTACAGCACAGGTGATAAAATCATTGGAGGTTATGAATGTTCACCCCACTCCCAGCCCTGGCAAGTGTACCTTACGGATCAGATTTACTTTTGTGGAGGATCTTTGATTAAAAAAAGATGGATCGTGTCTGCAGCTCACTGCAACTTCATGTGAGTATATGACCTCCCTTTTTAACCTGTATTTTTTAAAAACATGTTAAAGCTATTTACCATCAAACTACATTTTCCCTAAAAAGGGCCCTTTTAAGAAATAGATTAGCAACAGTTATTGTTTACCATTTCTGAATGTGTACTAAAAAAAATCCTAATTTCTAAAGAAAAAGAAAGGCTGTCAAGAAAGTTACACATTCTGTACTATAATAAAGATGAGAGTGTGTTAGTCTACCAACCATTGGCATCCAGCTCAAATTTTGAAACAAATTTACATTTGTGTACAGTATTTAAATATGCCTATTCTGGATTTTCTGGCTTCAATAAATATGAACACTTTTTATTATTATTATTATTATTATTATTATTATTATTATTATTATTATTATTCAGCATACTAATGCAGGATTTTTATTGTCTGTAATTGTCTTGCCATAACCATTATGTCTCTTAGACTAGGTAAAACCTATTTAAGACTATAAACAGACCTAATATGTAGGTAGGCAATATTCTAATAAACATTATATTATAGGCTGAGTAAAATTTGAGTTTCTTTTTTCAAATAGACGCCAACTCGTTGTCCACCTGGGAAAGCACAACTTGGATGTTACTGAAAACACAGAGCAGCTGATCAACGCAGAGAAGGTGATTCGTCATCCAGACTATAATGGTGAGACTCTTGACAATGATATCATGCTGATCAAGCTGAAAAAGCCTGTCCTCTTCAACAACTATGTGAAGCCGATCCGTCTGGCAACCAAGTGCTCTTCTGCAGGGGAACAGTGCTTGGTTTCTGGATGGGGCAAAACTGGAGGTGAGATGGCTGAGTAGAAAATCTTCTTATACTTTTATATAATATATTAAACATGCATTGTCATTATACAAGTTTTAGCACTGTTCATATTCTTTTTCCAGAGTACACTGCCTCTGCCCTGCAGTGTTTGAATCTGCCTGTACTCTCAAATGAGCAGTGTAAGGGAGCATATGGTACAAGAATAACTAGAAACATGTTCTGCGCCGGATTCATGGAGGGAGGCAAAGACTCGTGTCAGGTATGTCAATGACTTGGTCTTCTTCTTTATATGAGTTTGAAATTTTTATACAAACCACAATTTTGTCCTTTTCATTTTCCAATTTTCTTCTCAGGGGGATTCTGGTGGCCCTGTGGTGTGCAAGGGGAAACTGAAAGGTGTTGTTTCTTGGGGTAAAGGCTGTGCTCAACCAGACCTTCCTGGGGTATATACTGAGTTGTGTCGCTACACTGACTGGATCAAATCCATCATAGCTAATAACTAGCTATTTGTTCAGCCTGGTCGGCCCTGTACATTTTCCTAATTAAATTCATTTTAAAACGTGTATGTGTTTCTATCTTTTATTTTTATATGGGCATTGTTTTTAAGCATTTTTTAATCATGGTTGCTCCCCACCCCTGTGCTGCTACTGCTAAAATTAAGTAGAGCGCGGGGCACTACCTAACATGGGGTTAGTTACACAGACTTTTTACATAGTTAGTCGGGATCAAGGTTGTGTTTCCGCTCTTTTTCTCTCTCTGCCAGAAGACGGTCTCCCGCGAATTTGTGGGAAGTTTTGATTAGATTTCATGAAGATACTGGACAGGCAAAGAGTGTTTTGACACCATGCAAGTACATTTTTTTCATCGGTTTCTGAATTGGGTGTGTCCGTCACCATATCTATATTACCTTAATCACGGTCTTGTTGGCTAAAACATAGTACCGTTTTGAAACATGTCAGCAACTGTTAGCTAGGCTACCAGAGTGTTACATTCAAATGAAAACGGAGCCACACAATTTTTCAGGGTTGAGTATTTATTTATATATTTAACTTTGTTGGACTTTCACAAACAGTGTTCGAATTTACTTTTTTTTATTTAGTCTATGCGTTGATCACTTGATTCTTTGTTAAAAATATAACCAGTTTTTAATGCAATAAACCCTATATAATTTTATTTTAACTTTGTTATTATTATTATTATTACTGTTATTATTATCAATAATAATAATTTTACATGCAGTTGCCACACACAAATGTAATTCAATTGCAATTAAAATGTTTGATGATTTTATTTATTTATTTATATGCAAAAATGTGCAGCCCTTTCATATCTCGATCCATGATATTGATCCATAATAGAAGGATGATTGGATGAGAGATGGATGTATGCATATCTATCTATAGAGATTCACAAACAATGTCAAACTATACGGATAAAATAGTACTGAATTGACCTATGACTAAGCCACGCCCTCAAACCAATCACAGTGTGCAGCTAACCCAATAGAGCATCACAGTCCCGCCCACAGCCCGAGAGAGCGCTGGTGCCGGGTAAATTTCCCATTCATTTCTCCCATTGTAAAATCCATATCTAAAGACTATCAGAGCATGTCTGAGGATAATCAGCTACGGCTGAACTCATAAGCATACAACACATCATTTCGAGTGAAAAAACGAAGAGAAAATACAAAAAAAGTCGAGGGTACAAGCCTGTGTACATGTTTTCATTTCCGAGCAAAGAAACTACTCCTCCCATAAACCACCGCGCCTCAGTGAAGTCGTCTGAAAACCACCGTGAAAGAGCCTTTTGAGCGACTTCCAAATCTGACGACGGGCACGTGAACTTTTTCCTCCAGTGAATTTTATATAGTGAATGTACAGAGAAACCCCTTTTCCTCGATTTACTGAAGCAAACGCATTTGCAGCTCAACATGCAAAAACATTGAGTATCTGGCTCGCTCATTAGTTAAGCTGTGGCAACTGCACATCCAATGGCGCACGGGCGTCTCAGAAGTGCGACCAATGAACTTAGCCCTACGTCATCACGCGATCTTCAGTCTTCACGTACCTTCGCGGGGTTTCAGACACGTGACACGACTTCCACCAATCAGATGCATCACTGTTGGATTGTGGGATTGTTTAGGATCGTGGGTAATGAAGTACTTGTCCAATACATCGCGAATAAAAGGCATTTATCTTAAAACAAGGTTAGTGCCCCATGAACTTTTGGCGTTTATATGAGCACATACAATCACTTAGTACAGCCGTAGTACAGCCAAGTCTACCATGTACGGTTACGTTTTTATGGCTTATATCTCAAATGTCAATGGAGAAATTGTATTGAATTTTTACTTCCGGCACCAGCTATGGGCGGGACTGTGATGCTCTATACACTCGGAAATTATCTGCTTCCACGTCCATTGAAATGCATTGCAGTTAGTTGGTTTTCATTCGTTTTTCTTGTCATTTTATGTTTAAAATGGTCAAACATTGTGCATGGGGTACATGCAACTCCGACACTAGTTTCCCGAGAGGCTGCGTGACGGTGTGTGTGTGTGTGTTTTACCCTTTCCCAAGCCACATCTCAACCGAGATAAGTGTCTGCTCTGGATAAAGTTAAGCGATTAAGTTATGCGGAATGCGGTAGACCACAACACCAACTAAACGCGGATAAATTAAACAAGGATGTCTACATCTGTACTAAGTTAAGTCAACAATGTATTTGAACTATCTTTAAAATAAAGTAACGTTAGGCTAACATTAGATTAACATTAGAAAATGTTAACGTTAGCTTCTAGCAGTGTTGTAACGTTACATCATGTCAGTTGGCATCATTAATGTATCTGTAAATAACCGAGATAACAAATGTTAACAATGTAGTGCTGAATGATTCATTCATGTAAATACTGTAGCACCAAACGGTGATGGCAACGATATGCGGTTTATCACGTTTACACTGTGACCTATACATCTCTCTGTGGAGCTGAAGCTTTTCATCGACCTTCTCAACAATAAAATTATTAATATAACCCTCCAATGCATAGTTAATGCTCTATAGGTGACTTGGAGATGATATATAATTTTTCTGTCTCCAAAAATCGCCAATTACCTCCTGTGAAATGTCTCCTACTGTGACAGCTGCCAGCGCCTGCCCTTGAATGTTGACTATTTGTCCGAGTGAGTGGAGGGGGCGTGGCTTAGCCATAGGTCAATTTTGTTTTACACACAAGTGTTACAGCTAACTCCTCTGTCTGTTACAATTAATCCCTGCATATGTAGGTTGTAATATTTACACTTCTGTCACTTTCAGTGCAAATGTACGAAAATGGTAGGTCCTAGAAAATAAACTTTAAGTGTTCCTTTGTAGCAGAGATTTGTATGTTGCTCGTGTAAAAAAAAAAAAAAAAGAAAAAAGATGAATCTAACTTAATTATTTTTTTTAAATAATTGAGCCAAAACCAAAATGTTTTAGGTTGTGCCCCGCTCTCCCTAACCCCATCATATTGGTCTGCAAAAACAAACGGAAAACATTCGAAGCCTCAGAGTATCGACAACATGGTCATCAGCTAGTCGACTAAAATTCCTATTATAATGTTAGAATGTTACAGTGTTGTAGTACTCGAGACTCGGACTCGAGACCATATTTTAATGGTCTTGGTCTTTTCATGGACTCGTGTGCATTTGGACTCGGAATTGACTCGTACTCGAACATTTTTTTTTTTAGGACTCGGACTTATTCCCGAGTCCACTCAAGTTCAATTCAAAATATTTTTCATGATTAATAATGTACGTTAATAAAATATTTCTTTAAATTGATTGACATGCCCAGTGATTGGTGATTTTCTAGTGCGCAACTGCGCATGACAAATTGTAATAAAATTACTTTTAACACCACCTACTATGTGGCCTTTTTACCCTAAACTGATCATATTTTTTAAACTCTGGTCTCGGTCTCGACTCGGACTCGACCGTCTCTGGTCTCGGACTCAACTCGGATTCGACTCTCTATGGACTCGGTCTTCGGACTGGACTCTCTCTGGTCTCGGCCTCGACTCGGACTCGAGTGAGGTGGTCTTGACTACAACACTGGAATGTTATGTTTAGAGGCTGGCAGTCAATCACATCTGTTGCCTCATATCCACGTGCTTTATATCGTCACAGAAACACTGTTGACAGTATTGTTTCAGCAAGGGAACAAATGTCAAATAGTGACTAAAAACACAACAATTGTAGAAGTGACCGTTTCATTCTTACATTTATAGTCTGAAAAGTCTGTTCAGTATAAACTTGACAACAGTCAGCAATAATTATGAACAATGTGTAACGCAGAGCAAGTTGACTTGGGGATAACTATTGTGTGAAAACACTTTGTAGTTTTGGAAATATGTGTTGATTATTTTAGTATTTCTATATGTTTCTATACGTAAGGTGGCTTTTGCAATAGCCATATGAAATTAGGTCTCAGTGAATTGAAATATAATTTGTTTCTTTTAAATATAATAAAAAAAAAAATCATCAAATCTTTGTCAATGGGGGCAAGACAAAATAACAAACGGTGTCATTCACAGACTCTGTTGCTCTACTCTTTAGAAATCTACACTTTCTAATAAAATACATTTACAAACTGATTTTTGGACTGACATTTGTTTAGATGACAGCTGAGCAATTCGGTTTAGGGACACACTCCCCCAAGTTTTCATTATTCTTTGGGTGAGAAAGTCACACCCTGCACCCCAATGTATAGTATTTGAGCTTATAAATGTGTCCCAAAGCATAATATAGTATGGTAAAAGTCCCCAAATGGTCTACTATTTCTGTTAGATTATCGAAGTGTGTATCCTTTACCCATCTAGTATACCACCAGCTGTGGAGCTTTTGAAGGAGTGGCCGTAATAAAGAGCATTTAAAGGACAATTACTCAAGTCTGTCTGTTATCACTGCTGTGTAGCAGGCCAGTTAAGGGAAACAGAAGTTAGGGTAAGAGACTCAGTGGTTGCCTGTTTGGTGTTCTGAACTGAATCCTCCTCTAAAGCGCAATGGGTTGTGGGCAATATTAGCCATTAGAATGTGCACGGATAGTAGTGATAACAGACAGACTTGAGTAATTGTCCTTTAAATGCTCTTTATTACGGCCACTCCTTCAGAAGCTCCACAGCTGGTGGTATACTAGATGGGTAAAGGGCCCACGGAGATTAGTTGCTCGGTGAAGAAGCCCACACTGTGATTCTCAGGTCTCCAAAGCTGTCAGCCAAAGTAGCCCTTTTCTGATAGCCACCAGAAGAGGAACTAGATCAGAGGATTGGCAAAGGGACGCCACTACTTCTAAAATACTCAAGTCTCGACCACAATACTGAGAATAGACATCCTCCCGCAATGGGTACATGACTCATCCACAAAAGCACCCTCAGCGTTCTTAACAGCCAGACATGTGAGGCAACGAACTTGACTGTCAGCCGGAGCCCAACATGACATCATGACTTTTGCGTAAACATACACGCCAATTGGCGATATGTTATCGATGGCGTGTTATCGCGAACGCGTCAAATGGCGTGTTATCGTGATGC